TAGATATCTAAATACAACAATGCCATGATGTCTCAGAGACAACAGACCATCACAGTCCACACAAAGAAGCAAGATAAAGCAGGAGAAACAAGGGACCAGGATACAGACCCAGAACACATCCCTAAGGAAGCAGCAGCATTAGAACTCTCTGAAAAGGAATTCAAAAGAATTATATTTAGGTATCTTCAAAGAATTGAGAGATAGACCAAAGAAAACACAGACAAAACCCTAGAAGAATTTTGGAAGAAAACACAGAAACAAAAATGACAAAATAAATGAAAAATTAGAAATGATTCAAAATCTACAGATACAAATCCAGATTAATACTAAATTGTCAGAAATAGATAACACATTGAAAGGGCAAAGGAGTAGAGTTGATGCAATGGAAGTCAGAATTAACGAGACTGAAGACAAATACCTGAATACTTCTTTGGAAAGGGATTAATCAGAAAAAAAAGATCAAAACAAATTGAAGAAAGCCTAAGGTTCATGTGGGATACCATCAAAAGAAATAACCTACGTGGCATTGGAATTCCAGGGCAGGAAGAGAAAAATAAAACCACTGAGAAAACTGTCCAAGATTTGTTGGAGGAAATCTTCCCTCATACGATAAAAGATAAGAATGTATCCATCGAAGAAGTCCAATCCCAAACAGGACAGACTCTCCCCCAAAATCACCAAGACATATAGCATCATCAAATTCATTAAAACCAAAGACAAAGAATCCTGAAAGCAGCACGGGAAAAACAAAAAGTTACTTAAAAGGACAACCAGTAAGAATAAGCTCTGATTTCTCAGCAGAAACCTTGGAAGCGAGAAGGCAATGGGATGGCATGTATATATACAACCCTCAAAGAGAAAAATTTACAACCAAGAATTATATACCTGGTAAAATAGTCCCTCAAATATGATGGTAAAATTAGGAGATTTCCAGATAAGCAGAACTAAGGGAATTTGTTAAAACTGGACCAGCATTACAAGAGATACTAAAGGGAATCCTTTGAACAAGAGAACCAAAAATAGAAAATAACAACCAACCATTAATACATAAGATGACATAACATAGAGACTACAACTATGGACATATCCACAGTAAAATAAGCTTACAAGATTGTAAACAGGGAACCAGAGACAGCAATTGGCAAGTAAGGACAACTACAAACCAAAAAGAGGGAAGATATTGTGTAGTTGCAGAACTTCTAAGCAGTGAGGAATTCAAGAGAGTTGCAAGATAGAATGGACTGTTCTAATCTCAGGGAGAAAATTATAAATCACAGGGTAACCTCAAAGAAAAATGATAAACCTTCACATCACAATAAAAAAGAGGACAAGCACAAATATTCAGCAAATACTAAAA